GAGCCTATTCCAGCGCTTAACAACCCTTTCTGTAAAGAAGTTCTCCCTGATATCCAACCCAAACACCCTGGCGCAACTTCAGGCTGTTTCCCCTCGTCCTGCCACCAGGGAAAAGAGACCAATCCCACTCCCACTGCAATCACCTTTCAGGTATTGGAAGAGAGCAATAAGGTCTCCCCTCAGCCTCCTTTTCCCCAGACTAAACAGCCCCAGTTCCTTCAGTCTCTCCTCTTGAGGCATATTCTCCAAACCCTTCACAAGCCTTGTTGCCCTTCTCTGAACCTGCTCCAGCACCTCCATGTTCTTTCTGTACTGAGGTTCCCAAAACTGAACACAGTACTCAAGGTGAGGCCTCACCAGTGCCATGTACAGGGGCAGGACTACTTCCCTAGTCCTGCTCACCACACCATTCCTGATACAAGCCAAGATGCTATTGACCTTCTTGGCCACACTGCTGACTCATATTCAGCCGACTGTCCATCAGTACAAGATAGACAGACCCCCCAATAGATCTCAAATGTAAGAAACAGGAATACATTTTAGACTATGCTAACAGTCCAACGCTTTATTTGTTATTGGAGAAAAGGTACTTAATTAAAAATAGAAATGAAAAGATACAATTTTTCACCCTGACTTTAACAAACACTAATGTAAGAATAAAATAAGGTGTTACCTCAGAGATAAGATCCAAAATAATCTTGATACATTCCACAACTCTATCAGGTTTTCCACCAATAAGCACCACTCTATCAGTGGAATGAGGACAACACTCTTGGAAGAGCTTAATGGTGGTCTGAGTATTCTATTAAAGAAAAAACAAAATCTTCAAACAGAAGTATAGAAGTTCTTTAAACAATTTTGTGAACATTAAAAAAAAAGACTGGAAGTTTATATGAGTCATAACTAAAAGCTTTTAAACTGTCACTTAATTGAATATTAGCAAAAGAATCACATACCTATTGTAAGCTTACAGGTTTAGAACCTTCACATATAATAAAAACACACTTTGGACACAGAACAGTGACACTGTCAGAATTATCATAGAATGGCTTAGGTTGGAGGGGACCTTACATCTAGTTATCTTACTGCCCTCAATCCACAAACAGACTGCAGGTTACACCTGAACTGACCTAGAATTGCCTTTAACATAATGCCAGGAAAGGACAGAAAATACCTCTAATTTCATAGAACAAAACCACCTCATTCCTTCACAAAAGGAAACAATGGTCTTCAAGGAAGTAGAAGTTAAGAACAAAACAAACAAGCAAAAAAAAAACCAACCAGGAAATCCACCACAATATAAAAAAAAAATCCAAACATCTATTAAATTATCATAATTAGAGTTAGTGGAAATCCATCCATGCTAAACCATTTTGCACATCCAATATCACCAATAGATCTATAGTCTATTCCACAGTTCATTCCAGAAGAAGTGATGAATGCCATTTTAACTTAAAAAAAAGTATTCTTTGTTTATAAAAGTTACTCTACTGCAAATATGCTTAGAAGTTTGGTAGGAAATCCAAGGCTCTATCATAAACAGCTATTTTATTTCTGATGGTTTGCAAAAGAAGTTGCAATAAGTTACTCAGCTCAAACATAAAACACTGAAATCATGCATGAAATATGTTCTGAAGGAATTATTGTACAGAAGATATTGTACAAAAGATACTTGTACACTTCGCTTATGAACCCAAAACACTCATTTGTTTACAGAATCAAAACAACCCAAAAAGAACAGGTAACAGTACCTCTCTGAGTTCTTTGATTTTAGCACCCTTGACACCAATGATTCCTCCTGCCAGACTTTGGTGAATTAGAAGCCTTAGTTCACAGTCAAAGTCACTACCTTTGTAGTGTTGATACTGTAAGAAAAATGCATGTATGGAAAGAACAAAATATTAAACACAGGGGAAAAATAAGATTATAATAACACTTAATTAAAAAAAATAGTATTTAAGTTTTGTTGGATTTTTTTTTTTTTTTACTGCAAATATCATAGCATGGACTTGTTCAACTGTATTTGCAATTATAAAAATCACATTGATTTAGGCACTTCACCTCAACAGGAGGTGATGTCAAGTTAGTTTTCCATATTATATATATTTATTTATTTTTACATTTGTATAAAACTTTCATAAGATATCAAATAGTACAACAAACTTGCTTACAAAGTCAAGACAATGGAAATTACAGTACAACTACTTGAAACTGGAAGCTGAACAAGTCAGGAGACAAGTGTTTTGAAGAAGATGCTGTTCTAAATATTAATTTTGTAAGAAACTGTCTTTATCCTCTGTCAACTCCCCCCCCAAAACGACAACGCAGTTTGAGTTCTATAGGCCTTTAAAAAAAAAAAAAAAGAAAAGATATAATGCAACTATCACACAATCATCTAGAATAATTTCACTTTAAAATCTAATCTCATACCTCTGAAGAAACAAACCCAAGAGACATACCTCTTCTAACGTAGGGATAATCTTCTTCAGTATTTCTCCAATCGTCTCTGTATCTGCACTTATACTCAAGATGCTGTCAGAAGTCAGTGTTAGAAAACACGGAGGTATAAAAAAAAGTAGTAGCAATGAATGTCATTCATAATTATATATGAAATTCTAACAAGACTTAACTATATAAAAGAACATACAATTAATAATCCCCATCTAGAGTAAACCTGCTCACTGAATTTACAACACATGCATCTCGGTTTATGCTTATTATATATTCATGATAAATATAAGAATAGGTAGGTCTTGCTGAGAGTATGCAAGAAAGAGCAAGCGAGAACTTTCAGGAGGGCTCGGATTAAATGGGGAAGAAATCCACACAGAACTGAAGCAGAAGTGAATACCCATGTTCCTCATCATCACTAATTTAGAATATCCTTTATATTACATTGTTAGAAGTGGCACACAATTCTTGTAGAAAAAAATGTAGATGCAAGTGGTCAATGCTACATCTAGAGTGAGATTGTGAGACCAGTGAGAAATTAGATTATTAATGGGCTCTGCAATAACAGAAATGTAAATAAAAGACAAAACAAAGAAATTTAAAAAAAAAAAAAGAAAAAACACCTTCAAAATAAAAATGGAACACAAACAAGAAGCGAAGGAAAGCAAACCAGTTATTTAATCAGAAATAATTAAAAACAGACACTATTGAGAGGAGCAAGGTGGGCCACAAAGAACAAGAGACTCTGGAAGCAATTTGATTTATAATACAGTGAATATGCAGCACTTGAAGCTATAATTCTCTCATCAAAATAAAAGCAGTAGATTGTTTAATTAGATTGTTTAAGTCATGTAAAAATTCAGTGACAGAAAGACTTAATGGGTTAGATAATACAGAAAACCTGAAGAAAAATACAAACAAAAGAATACACAGTCTATACATGGATACTATTTAATTATATAAATGGCAGGTAATAAAATACATTTATCTGTTTCTAATCAGGCAGCAAGGCATAAACTGTTGGGACATACCGCTCAGGGCCACTGCTGTCTGGGACTGAAACGCTTGCATTGTACTGCATTGGTCATGGATGTTCGTGGATGTCGGCATTGGGCATGGGTATTCAATCAGAAGTTGTCAAGTATGGTATCCATTTGGCAATGGGCACATTTTTGGGCATAGCCAACCAGGGTTTTCACATGGGCATTCAGGGGCGGATGAGCCAATGTCACAGTGGGCAATGCAAGGGCAAGACGATCCAGTACATGGGCAGCAGAGATATACAGCCAAAACAAAATACAAAGAAAACAACACAAGGAGAGGGAAAAGGGGAAAAAGCAATAAATTTTAATTTAATACAAACTATACTTATTATTCTCCATTAATTAAACAAGCTTAAGTTATTCTGAAGATTACCATAACAAATCGCTACAGTGACCAGCTTAACAGCATGGATCTTAATGAGTTATTTTTATCTGTCTAAACTACTTTTTACTTTTAACACATGAGGTTTCAGTAGCAGGCTGGCTCATGAGGGTAGACACAAAACTTGTTGAGCTCCATATTACTAAAACATTGGGCAAATTGGGAAAGCAAGCATTCTAGACCAATTTAAGTTATATAGACTGATATGATGTATTTATTTACTTAAAAGCAATTAAACAAAAACATTAGCTGACAAAGTCAGTGAGTATATGAATGATCCCTGACCATTAAAACTTAATTTTCAATACTAGTCACTATAGGTCACGAACTTAGTTGGAACTGATTCTGCAATGATATATTACCAAATATTGTGTTGAATGCAGTCTTGCTTGAAAAAAATGCTGGAATTGTAGCTGATGCTAAGTACAGAAGTATAAACAAATTAAATTCAAGAAAATCTGCCGAATGTTATTAACATATTAATACTGAGCATATCTTTAATCATGAGTCATTCCACTACAAAAATTGAATAGATGAGCCATGACCACTTAAAAATACTTCAGTGTAAAGTGTTTCTTTATTGTTCTATACCCACACTTAAATCATGCAACCTTAACATTCATGCTTTTGTGCATCATGTCCAAACTATTTAATAGCAACAGATGGACCATAATTTTTCCCCTCCCCTAAAAGAAATTAAAGCATTGTCTATCACTGAGTTAAGCCAGCCACCTGTAATGGCTTTCAATAGTATTACTCACACATACGCAAAATGGTACGGTTAAGGGTTTTAATCTTTGCCAATATTTGTAATTAAAGATATTAATTCAATTGAAGTGCATAATGTAGAGAAAACCAGACTAAAAGCAAAGTAGTTTAATATAAACCTACCGTCCTACATGATTCAAGCTGGAATTTAATTACAATACAAACTGAAAAGCTTGTTATCTCCTCTAACAAACATAAACAGCTTATAATTAGCCTACTGATGACTAGAGTTGAATTTATAAATTTACAGAAATGTACACAATCAAGTTTTCTATATAGTGCTCTCAAAGAACCGGTGCTAAATCAATTCAAAACTCATACTCACATCTGTACGAAGTGCCTTAATATTTTTGCCACCTTTTCCAATCACTGCTCCAGCATTCTGTAAAGTAGTTTTCAGAAGAAACGTTATACTAGCACTGCATAGTTTTCAGTTCAAAAACATATTCTAAGAACAAACTATTTCTGCATTACCTTGTGGGATAGGATTTATTTTACTTCTGAAAGGTTCAAATTAAACTGAAACATACTAATGTGGCTCAGGGTTGGTTTTTTTTTATTATTTTTATTTTTTAATATTTTTCTTTGGAAGCATGTTTGCAAATTTCACATTTGCACTCTGAATGTTTGATTATTTCAAACATGACCTCTGGCTTATACCTCTTTAACTCAACATACCATTCAGATAGACACAGTCTAAAGAAGGTAAAGCCAATACAAACAATTGTTCATCTCCAATTGCTGAAGTCAACAGGAATAAACCGGCAGATATTCAAGAATACTTGAAAAACTACAATTGTGACTGAGTTGCTTCAAGAACTACACACAAAATTATTGCTTTTATTACACAGTTCATACACAATGCTAACAGCACACAAACATTTTGCAGCACTCCATGCAACTTGACTAATCAGCATAAATGCTACGCACAGTTAAGATAACATTTCCCCACCCCAACACAAAAGACTGAGTTACTTCAGACCATGCAAACATCTGTAATGACTGAAAACACTAGAATAGATTAATAAATAGCAACTTTACTGTTACAATTTATACTACCCAATGAAGCAATTGCAATCCCTAAAGCATCAATCCTGTTTTTTCTTCCTGTTGATACATATATATTAAGTAAATCTAAGAAAACTACTAAAATTTGGACAACAGTCCTCACTTTGCCTCTCATATCTGATTTACAATCATTAGCTGATCCTTCTCTAAACTGCCACTCCCTTCAAAAACAAGGGCCTTCCCTTTAACACAGAGGATAATTCAATTGCAATTATCCTTCTACTATCATTACAGAAACACAGTATCGTAGGGCTTGGAAGGAACCTCTGGAGTAGTTTGCAGAAGACAGCATCCAGGTGGATGGTCTCCAAAGGAGACTCCACCACTCTGGGCAGCTTGTTCCAGTGCTCTGTCACATACTCAAATAAGTTTTTCCTCATGTTCAGGTTGAACTTCTTGTGTTCCAGTTTGTGACTGTTGCCCCCTGTCCTGTCACTAGGCACCACTAAAAAGAGCCTAACCCCACCCTTCCTTTAGCTATTTATAAGCACTGATAAGATTCCCTCTCAGCCTTCTTTCCTCTTGGATAAATAGTTTGATAGATTAGGAATTGGCTGGATGGTCACAGCCAGAGGGTTGTGATCAGTGGTTCTGTGTCAGGGTGGAGGCTGGTCACAAGCAGTGTCCCTCATGGGTCAGTCTTGGGACTGGTGCTCTTCAACATCTTCATCAATGACATAGATGATGGCATTGAGTGCACCCTCAGCAAGATTGCTTGGTGTAATCTGCAGAGCGGTGCAGTCGATACATTGGAAGGAAGGGAAGCCATCCAGAGGGACCTGGACAGGCTGGAGAAGTGGGCCCATGAAAACCTAATGAGGTTCAACAAGGCCAAGTACAGGGCGGTGCACTTGGGTCTGGGCAATCCCAGGTATTTATACAAGCTGGGGGAAGATCTCCTTGAGAGCAGCCCTGCAGAGAAGGACTTGGGGGTCCTGGTGGATGAGAAGCTGGACATGAACCAGCAGCGTGCGCTTGCAGCCCAGAAAGCCAACTGTGTTCTGGGCTGCATTAAAAACGGGGTGGCCAGCAGGGAGAGGGAGGTGATTATCCCCCTCTACTAGGCTCTTGTGAGGCCCCATCTGGAGTAATGCATCCAGGCCTGGGACCCCCAGTACAGGAAGGACATGGAGCTCTTAGAGCAGGTCCAGAGGAGGGCCACTAAGATTATCAGAGGGCTGGAGCACCTCTCCTATGAGCAAAGGTTGAGGTAACTGGGCTTGTTTAGCTTGGAGAAGAGAAGGCTCTGGGGAGACCTCATTTTGGCCTTCCAGTACTTGAAGGGAGCGTATAAGCAGGTGGGGGAACGGCTGTTTACAAGGGTGGATAGTGATAGGGCAAGGGGGAATGGTTTTAAAC